GGGTGGCGTGGATGGAGGAAGGCACCGAGGCACAGATGGAATTCTCAGCGGGATACAGATTTATTTCGCACGGGGCACCTTTCCCTCGGGGAAGGGAAAGATGTCAGTGAAGGGAGGAGGGGGAGGGAGGGGAGGGGAGGGGAAGGGAAGGGAAGGAAGGGAAGGAAGGGAAGGGAGGAAGGGAGGAAGGAAGGAAGGAAGGAAGGAAGGAAGGAAGGAAGGAAGGAAGGAAGGAAGGAAGTCCAAAAGACTGCCAAACTTGAATGTAAAGCACACCCTGGAAGGAACAAGGCTCATGGAAGGGAGAACAGAAAGGATATCAGACAAGGGGCTGGGGGTGGTATGCATAAAAAAATCTATGTTAGTCTTAGTCAAGTCATAGCATTAGGAAGAGACTAATTCAGGGTAAGGCACTTCCCCATTTCTTTTCTGCTTCTGCCATAAACAGACTGTGTGTCTTTGAACAAGTTGTCTATTTGCACCTCAAAAATATGAAATATTTGAGCAGGATGATACTTCTCTCTTCTGGTATTATGGATAAAAAACACAGCCCAGGTTACCCAGCCTACCTTAGCATGCAGACCACACACAAGGGGGCCTCTGTGGCTTCTTCCTTAGCATCCACTTTAACAATCCAGGAGGCCCCAAGACAAAGCCATGCAGTCTCCTTCCTAACTGATAGGAGACTCCAGGGAATACAGTACTGCCCAAGTCTGGACTCAGGATGAAAAGCCCACTTACAGATTTCTTGGGATATTGGTTATTTTCCTTTGATACAAAGACCTTAACTGCACTAGGCAAAAAACCTCAATTCTCAACTGAGGAAAAAAAAGAATAGTCTAAGAGTGAATTCTCCAATATCTAGTCAGCCATAGCTAAAGAGAGAAAATGAGAGAAGTGTATTAGGTGGAACAAATTCAGAGCACATCACCTTGAGCTTGGGCAAGCGCTTGATGGTCTTCAGTGGCCGCAGAACTCGGAGCACTCTCAGAGACTTGATAGTCTTGATGTCCCGCCCTTTGTTGGTTCTGCAGAGAGAGGCCCCCAGGGAATCATTGGGAGAAGGGGAAAAAAAGAAGTGACAGTCCAGTTGCACTAATAACAATAGAATATGAGCAGAGAGGAGAGCTGTAGACAAGAGGCCAGAAACTGGATTAGTGTAGACCCCTTCAGGGACCATCCACAAACAATGCTTCAGGATTTGCCTCAAATCACTCCTTAGTATACATGTGTACACATCCACATATGCACGCCTACGCATACACATTCAAGTACAGATGATCCCCAACTCACAAAGGTTCAATTTATGACTTCTCAATTTCATGATGGTACAACAGTGATTTGCATTCAATAGAAACTAAACCAAAATTGTGATTTCTTTACCCTCAAGGCTAATACCATGCAGTGAGAGATACCCTCCTTCAAATCTTGGCAGTCAGTGGTCCCAGTCAGCCATAAAATCATGAGGGTGAAAAACTGGTACTCCAGTGTATATAATGTGTTGCTAAATTGATATGATGTTCACAGATGTCTTAAATGCATTTTCCACTTAGGAGATTTTTGATTTTGAGTTTCCCTGGATGTGACCACATAAAAGAAAGGGATCATCTGTACATATGTAGAGGAACACTTAGGCTTCCATTAATTACTTCCTGTCCCTACTAGCCAGTTTAAGGCTGCTTAATACCACATTAGTAAATGAAAATGGAAGATACGCCAACCAGGGACCATGAGCAGGGGCCCTCTTTGTATTCCCACTCTGCGTAGTTCAGTGCTTTTCCAGTAACAGGCTTTCAAAAGTTATTCATTGACTTGAATAGGAACACACAGTTAAGAGCAAGCCTCATCAGGGAACTTGACTCAGTCTAGGTTTGCCACCTCTCACAGTTCAGGAAAGTGGGGAGAGCGAGCCAAGGAAGACTGGTGGGGGGCATAACACCCTTGCTGTGCTGGGCTGCCACTTCAGAGAAGACTCCAGGCATCTTGCCAGGACCTTGGCACTCACTCCAGTTCTGTTTTAGCTAGCCCTTCCTGCAGTCCTTGCCACTTCAGATACTCTGCACTAGTCCAGGCTCCAGAGAACTACACAGTGGGAGTAGGCTCTACCCACCTTTATTCTGATCCTATGGGTAATGATCCTCCCTATTCAGCATCTAAGAAATATTTGCTCTAAATGAAGAAAATGCATTTCTCTTATTTCTAAGAATTAAATGAATAAATCAAATTGCATTCCTCCTTCCTCCCTGCTCATCCCCTGAGAGCTTTGTATTCAATTCAAATAACTACAATTTGTAAAACATGTGCATGCTGGGAAACAAGGCTCTAAATAGTGAAATAAGGCTTGTTTTTTTCCTCGTGCTGACCCACATTACAATTACACTAACAACCAGAGGAACAGGGATCCAGAACGTCAGGTAGGAACTGCCTGATTCAAGTGCAATTTGCCCTTTATGCCCAGCCCAAATGAAGGAAGTCTGTCTTTTCAGGAAAGGCAAGATGACATTTGATCTGATCTCACATGCTGATTTTACCCAGAATGTTAATGTAAGCCTCTCTTAGTATCTCAGGTGATGACCTAAAAGTCATTTGAAAGTTCTTCTGCTGTTTTAAGCACATCTACCTACATATCTAAATAAGTCAACATATAGGTCAAATATTACCCAAACCAGTAAGAATGATCACCTCCCCAAAAGACTTGGAAACTGCTAATTTTTTATTTGAGGCATCTCAGTGGAAACATACCATTTCTATAAATTCACCACACCTTTCTCACTGAATCAGTTCCTTCCATCCCAATTAGTTTCTCCCTCTTCCAACCCGGTCCCCATAACCTTCTACTTCAAAGAAAAATAAACATAGTTACCCCAAAGCGTTCCTATGGTGAATCCAGGTGGGAAGCAGTTATGGAAAGAGGAAGAGGTAGAGAGAAAGAAGACAGTCAGAACACTTCAAAGGGGAGAGAGACACAGTGATACAATGCTGGGGAAGCAAGACCCTTGGGATCCTGCCCTCAGCATTGGCACTTGTCAAGTCCGTAGGGTTTGTGAAAGGAAGAACAGCACACCATTTGCTCCACATCCCCCTTTCTACCCACAGGGCAAAGGCCCTTTAAAAGCACTAGCAGAACTGCTTCTAACACAAAGATACCCAGCCCGTGCAGTCTTCCAGGGAGCCTGGTTTAACTGGACTTTCCTAAACATAGGTTTTCATTTTCGTTTCCTTGGCAGTCATTAGGCAAGCTCTGCTCCCAGTACCTTTATAAAAACCAGACAAGAGGAATGGTATCTGCGTTGGGTCAGAAACCCCTACAGAAAAAGCATTTCAGTCACAGTGACTTTGAATGGTTCCACCTGAAGAGGATTAAGTATCTATATGCAAACAGGGGCACTCTGGTATCTTGCCAGTGCTCAGATGACCAACATCACTGAACCACATCCAGATGAGGAAGAGGGTTTTTTAGGAAAAGCTGCCTTTTTGATCAATTAAATGACTAACTTCCATTGTGAAAAATTAACTCTGCTCTTGTATCTTTGAGACAGAAACAATGAGAACTTATTTTAGCTTTTTGAATCTTCCTTGCTCAGGCCCAGGCTCTGTGCTAAGCACTTGCAGTGAAAGTCTTCCTACAATTTCCTAGTAACTTTCAGACACAGATTTTACCACCTTCATTTCACAGATGAAATTCAGTGAAGGAAAGTACACGCAGGGCTAGCTGGCAGAGCTGCAACTGGACCTGGCTCATGTGTGACAATTGGAGCTCTTGGCCATGGTCACCAAGCCTCTGTACCTGTAGGTTTGGTTCAATATTCAGATACCCCAATGAATTTTAGAGCTGGAAAATACCCTAAGATACATTTATTTGCAAAGAAAAATGAAGTGGTGTGGCCTAAGGTCACTCTATGAGTAAGCTCAGACCCACAGATCAACATGAATTTGTGATTCCCATCTTGGCCTGCTGCCATAACAAAGTGTCTGGGATCCGGGCTTCAGTCCTTCACTTCTGGTTGCTATGAAGGTTACTCTTCATTCTTTTTCTAACTTTTATCACAAACCTGTACTCTATCACCATATGTTACCAGCTAAGACTTCTAATGGCCAGTTAACTAAATTAAGAACCCTGTATTCAACATATTAATTTTCACTACAAATGCCAAATGAATGGTGATCTGGGAATACAATTGGAGGCCTTAAATCCTTAATGTGATAACCTTCAAATCGTCAGGGGGCAGACATATTATCTCTTGAGTCATAACTTGTATATAAGTTAAACAAAATTTTATTAGTGTCAGGCACTTTTCCAGGTACTGGAACAAATAAGCTGGCTAATCTCTTGAAACTTAGCTTGTCTAGTAGGGCAGATAGACCTCAAATCAACAAGGACACAAAAGTAATAATTGGAAGCAGCCGTGGAGAGAAAGAATCACTTGGTAGATAATTTACCAAGACAACAACACAGTTTTCTTTTCCCCATGTTTTATTTTCCTGAGACTATCCTAAGATGTGAGAACAGGGTAGCGGATGGACTTATGGGCAGGTGGTCAAGGAGACACACTCCAGGCTTTCACCTTCTGTTTAACTCTTGTCTCTGAGAACTTTATATTCGATAGCATCTGAACAGATTCTGGGAGACCACATTTAGAGAAAGCACCTCATGTAAGAAAATCCAATATTTCTTCTTCCTCCCACACAGATAAAATACAAAATTTGCATTATTCTCTATAATTAATTTCGCCCCAGAATTTTAGTAAAACATGATATGGAACAAAGGAAATTTCAACCCGTGTCACGTGTCCTTGGTACAGTCTAATGTTAACAGCAGAGTCTCCCAAACTACTGAAGGCTGTTTGTCCCATTCTGACTCCTAAGATCTGAGCAAGGATAGCAATAAAACACAGGCTTGAAGTGAAAGATTAGCACATCTTTCAAACAGATCTCCTACTGCAGAGGAGCCACAGAAAAACTATGATTTCGCAGCACACATGCAGCCCCGAGTTCAATCTCTAGCATCAGAGGAAAAAAGAAAAAACAAAAACAAAAACAAAACAAAAACCACAAACCACAAAGGAAAGCAAAACAAAATAAAAACCATGATTTTGAATGGATGCTGAGAAAAACGAGCTTGCATCCTACATGTTGCTAAAACAGGATCAACATTGTTTTGAAAATTTCCATTTGAAATGAAAGAATTGGGTAACAAAACCAGGGAATCAGGAAAAAACAAACAATTTCACCTTTGCTAATTAAAATATTTCACAGTTTATACACAGACAAGGCCAAAGCACCTCTCTCCCCAAATCCAGTGTCAAAGCCAAGTTTTCAAAGGAGGGAGATGTTTTACCAAACTAAGAAGGCAAGCTCTTCTAGCACTTTGAGACACATTGTTTTGGAAACAATTCCTGTGCTTTTTACAAATCATCCAAATAATCACTTGATAATTCTGTTAGTCTTTGTCGCTAAATGTATGAGTTTTTTTTTTTTTTTTTGTTTTTTTTAAGAAAACGAACAAAAAACAGTGCCTAGCTAATTAGTAAGATTTTAACAGGTTTGAAATGGACTCTATTGGAAGACAGTTCCACTAGGATATACTGGCTCCACTTTAATTGGGACTCAGTGGGGCCACCCATTTTGCCATTTATTTCCTACTTGTCTAGTATACTCTGGGCTGCCCTAAAAAACCAAAACAACAACAACAGAAGCCCCATTTTCCTTGTGCCTCTTCAGTGTAAGATGAGGATTTCCCAGCTCAGATGTCAAGCTGTCCTCTACATCTGCCATGTGCAATCATTCAACATTCACTGTCTTCTTCTTCTCCAGTTCCAAGGTCCCTTTTTTTCAGAGGATATATTGTCAAGTTGATTGCTGCTAAGAACTGGCTCTCCTTCCACTGTGGCAGAGCAAGGACATCAGGTTCTGGAGAGCCCTTTATTCTTTAACTGTCACAGCCTCTGCTTTTATCCATGAGTCTGCCAGACAACAGCACAGGAGTTTCCTGCTTGGAAAGGTTAGGTTTACAAGACAGGCAGAGTGACCATGCTAGGAAGAGGACTGATTAAAAGTGTCTGGACTATTGTTGATAGGCAATAATAACTACCACTTACTATTCAACTTAAATACTTGGTAGTATTTTGAACATGAAATATATTTTACCTTATTTAATTCTCATAGGGCCAAAATGTGGTTATTTTTCATTTCCACTTACAGGTGAAGAAACAAGTTCAGAGAGGGAAGGCAGATGATAATCAATAGTGTTGGAATTTAGACCCATATTTGCCCGACTCTGATGTTACACCTTTCAAAGCAGAAACACTGGGGACAGGGTAACCAAAACAGGGAAGAGAAAAATAAACCAGTGTTTCTGAGCTCAAATATCGCAAGACGGACAAGCTTAGGGATGCTCTTTCCCATCTTCCACAAAGGTCTTCCTTGCTCTAGATAGAGACAGAAGACTCTGCAGGCTGATGCAGGTCCATACCAAGCCACTGTTCTTCCTTTTCAGAGATGACTGGTTTGTAAACATCTAAAACGAGAGTTTCACATGATGAACTTGAATGCCATACACCAAGGTTGCTCCTGACCTGGCTTCACTCTTTATTCATCATATGAGCCAAACCAGCTAAAGCTCTGACCATTGATTTCTCAACTATGAGAAACGTGATGAATGAGGAAAGTGTGCATGGAAAGGAGGAGGAAGCATCACTCTTTGCATTGGTAATACTCGTCTCTCCAGGAGCTGTGGATAAAACCGATTTGACTGCTTGTGAAAAGAAATCTAAATTCAGCACTTTGACCTTGTTACTCTTAGTGGTGCCATTTGGGGATTATTTTTCTTCCTAGCCTAGGCATCTCCCCTTGTCATCTAGGTAACTTAAACCTATGGTTACTCTGGTATCTTTGTTCTGTGGCCACAGAACTCGCCCTGTGCTAAGTCCTTTCCTTTTTACACATGAACCTCAATGGGCTTCTCATACGCACCATGACAGCCTTTTGAAAATTTCCTCCTTTGCAATACACATCACTATACTCCAACTAGAAGGTATTTTTGTCCAAGCATCAAGAAGCAGCAGGAGGCAGCAAAGCATCTGTCTCCTAGCAGTTTTGTTATTCTGGCTGGTGAGCAATGACCCAATTTTTTATTTCTTCTTAGTCTTTATATATGAGCATAACCAAAGATACCCTCATCTGTGATCTTCAGAGGAAGGTCCTGCTGACTGAAGTCCAGTCAATGCATCTGCCTAGCTGTAGACTAATTTGGGTTTTTTTGTTTTGTTTTGCTTGTTTTGGTGCCCTTTAAAATTATTTACTATTTTTATTTTATGTGTATGCATGTATTGCCTGCATATATGTAAGTGCACCCATGTTGTGCAATGCCTGTTGAGGCCAAAAGAGGGTGTCAGATCCACTGGAAATCGAGTTACAGATGGTTGTCTGCCACCATGTGGGTGCTAACCTGTGTCTTCTGCAGGAGCAGTCAGTGCTCTTAACTGAGTTATCTCTCCAGCCCCATTTTTAAATATTTAGACAGGGTCTCCCAGTATCCCCAGTTCACTTGGAATTCATTATGTAGACTAGGTTGGCCTCAATGTCACAGAGATCTGAGTGCCTCTGCCTCTTGAATGCTAGGACTAAAGGCAAGTACCACCATACCTGGCCCAGTAGACTAATTTGTAATGTAAGGCTATGCCCTGTGAGTGTGGGTTAAGCAGATGGCTAGCAGGTCACACAATCTGGGCTGATACTTCCTGATTTCCATTATACAGTCTTCTTTCCTAAGTTCTCTACAACCTACTTTTAAGCATGGAGGGTAATGTGATGGTTTCTACTGGTCTCACAGGACTGGCCCCTTGCCATGGCTGTGAAGCCTCATTTCCTAAACAG